AGGAGCAGGAGGAGGAGCAGGAGGAGGAGCAGGAGGAGGAGCAGGAGCAGGAGGAGGAGCAGGAGCAGGAGGAGGAGCAGGAGGATACCATACGAAAAACAAAAACCCCACATGTCAACGTGGGGAAAAAACATCAGGCCGTACCACCAGGCCTAATGCTTCGTGCGCTCGCTTTCTTGACGTTTGTGTATCAATACTTTCCCATGGCTCTCTTGCAGCCCCTCCCTCTTGGGGCCTCTTCTCTGGAAGCTTTCTGGGCTGGCCCGAAATGAGGCGCGGAACGGGACACAGCTTGATCCGGGACCATGTTTAGTTTAGTGTCATGCCGCGGGGTCAGGGCCCCCTGCTGACGACACGCTCAGGTCTACTACAATAACCCTTCCTTCAAGCTGGTGGAATATGATTCTCAGCTCGCATGCTTCCAAGTAGTTGATGCCATTGTCAGATGGGGATTTTGTGACCTATGCTGTGAAGCTGTCCCAGTGGAAAAGTTGCGGACATAGGCTTCATGGCCCACCATTGATTTCATACGATTTAATAGCCTTTACTGAACAATCTTTGTTTTACTTCAGGGCTTTACACCACAAGACCAGGTCAACCCGTCCTTTAATGGTCTTCGAAGGCTAGGGTTTGGATAGAACATGATAGAACAGTGTATCCTTCAATTTCGGGCATTTGACATTGTACTGTAGCACTTCAAGAGCAAGAGAAATTGGCATGGAGACTCAACATGTTGATTGTTGGAGAAGAAGAGCTCTGCGCTGCAACCCCGAGAACATTATGGAGGTTTGGATTCCAGCTGGAAGTGGTTGTGATACTACTTGGAACATACACACACAAGGAATATACCACCCTCATTTCAATCTACTTGGTGATACTTTAAAAGGTTCTCGAGGTAACTCAGGTTGGAGCCCAGCAGTTGAGAAGCTTTGGAGATCCACCCTGCGCCCAACAGGTTGGGTTGTTTGTTGGGTTCGAAATCGCCAGGCTTTGGCCGGGCACACGTATATGCTTCCATAATTACATCATATTACATCAGTTCTATCGATTATTTATGTACTGTACACAATTAATCTTGTATTTATATGTGTTTGGGATCTCCTCTCCTCCGCCTCGACCTTACCAGAAATGAATTTGTGTGCGATGTTTCACCTATCAGACCGACCTATCCGATACCGTTTTTTTTTTTTCGCAGCCCCTCACCTCACCATTTGCCTGCCGGGGCTCCTGGACCGCCGGACCTCCTGGATCTCTTTGCTTCGCTGTCCTCGTGAATTCAAGGACCCCATTAGCGGCCGCTTGCTGAATCTCCAGACCTTCATCTCCGATCGCTTCGAGGTGCAAACGAGAATGGGTGGATGGATGTTCCTTTTGATCATGCAGGGATATAACAGGTACTGTAATTACTTGTTGAAACCGCCGTGGCTTGATAAAGCACTGGAATCGGCTTGCACCACAAACCTCCAAAGAAAGATAGAAAGAGACAGAGAGGGAGCCTCATTTTGGCCAGACTTAACCACAACTCTCACCACCATCACTGTCCTCTAAACCGTCCTTGTTGCTCATCCACCGGTTCTCACCAAGTGAACCTCACGCCTCTACCAGTCCCGGTACAGTAGCGGTCTAGCGGTCCCTTGGCTCCAGAGCCAGGCTCCGGAGGCGGACTGGATCTTCGGCTATGACCACTTGAAGCAATACGGCCTTGCTGGGCTAAGCATGGCGGAACTGCAGAACTTCACCGAAGCTAAGCGGCCACGGCAGTTCTGCAGGGCGGACGTGGTGAAGTTGGTTTGTTGGGGATGGGATGGTGAGTAGACCATTGAACCGGAAATCATACCTTTCTACAATGAATGAGTATGTACCCAGATGCCTGTTTTGTGTGGCAAGGTCTAATGTAGGGATTCTTGGGGTATTTCAGCGAGATAGCTGGAAGGCTTGGCAGGGACTCAAAGCCTACTTGGTGAGTGTCAGTGGGCGTGATTGAGGCAATATCATGTTCTCTTGAGTGTTTTGCAGCATTTTGCAGGGTGCGTGGGGTTTCTTCATTCAGTTCACGAAGGCAATTTGATGGTGTGGGTGTTCTACATTGTTGTGGATATTGCCAGTGGACCAACTCTAGATCCACTCCCTGGAATCATGATGGAAGTGGATAGCATCGCCCCCTCTTCCAGACCATCTTCTCGACCTGCGTCGTGAACTCCACGTCCACCATGATGATTCCTCCGAGGTTTTGGTTGCGTGAAAAAAACCCTTCCTGCGGGGAAGGGTACGGATTGAACCCCAGGATCCCAACTAAATACCTTCGATGAAGTGGAGCGCATCAGGGAGAGTGCATTTGTTCATTGGATGATGTGGAGCCATCAGTTGGGAGAGCTGCCATCCGGCCACGGGTGTCACGAAATGCCCTCGTCATCTGTTCTCGGGGGCGGCCTCTTCAGCTGCCCGCCGGAAGAATGGACCTTGGAAGACCATTTCCCTCTCTACAACCCAGTGGTTTTCAGGTTCCATGTGGGGCCTCTTCCAGGGCATACCTAGATCTTGCAACGCCTATGCAACATGTTTGCCGAACTTGGCTGGTTTTATGGATCAAGAACGGCAGACTCTCGGCATAGTTGGACACCGAGAGTTGCGACCCGACCACCTCATGGCACCCGTCGCGTGCCTCTCAGGAACGCTTGTTGGAAGGAGGGGAGAGCTATGAGAGGCGTGTGTTTCTCTCGGCCGGACAAGTGTCATGGGACAAACAGGATGGGTTTTGGCATGGCTTGACCTGAGTTGGGGGAAAAGCATGGAAACACCTACCGTTGGTCTGAAGACTTGCTTTTGGGGGACTTGGCACCTGGCCGCGGTTTCGTTCTTGCAGCGGAATGACGACTTGTGCCCAGCAGTCGCTTCCAGCGTCTTAAGATCGGCTTTTGATTTGAACCACCGACCCGCTTTTGAGTAAATGTTGCTGGAGAAGCATGTTGGATTGTGGAGAGGTATGCGTCATGGTATGCTTCCGGCTATCCCAATGAGCCACTCGGCGTGACGCACCCGTTTGCTGCTAAGCGCAGGAAGCACAGGCGGTGTGGGTGTGTGAAACATGAAGCCAACAGGGTCACATCCAAGTGTGTTTAGATCCTTTGAGTGAGAAACGAGCATATAGTCAGTCAAACTGATCCCGTGGACATCCATCATCCATGGGCCCTTATTGTTCGTTTGTTGCGGTTAGCATTGCAGAACTTCTTTACCCACTTTGACTTCTTTGCACTTTGCCCTTCCTCCAACCTGTGTGCTTGTGTAAGAAAGTGGTCCATTTTCACTTGGGCACCATTATGATTTCCTTCGTGCAATTCAAGTAAACGGTAGATGAACAAATCCGGGAAACATATACTCTCCACTAGTGAGTTTGGACTTGTGAAATGACTGTGCAAAGTTCCATCTCCTGTCTTCACAAGGGTGTCCACAACTCCCGTCTACCATCAAAATCAAGAACAACCGAGGCTATAGATTATTGAAGGTCTTCGTAGGTCACCTTGGAGCTATCTCAACCATAATCATAAGCGCTATGAAAGTTTGCACAAGCGCACACACACACACACACACACGCTTCTTACTTGCTATAAGCAAAACATATCAAAGGTGAGCCTTGCATAAGACCCCCCCGCAAGAATGGATTCCCAGCAACAAGTAGAGTCTACTGTTCAACACCGCTTACTTGATGCTGTGTGTGTTGCAGGGGGTGTATTTTACCCTCCCCAATTCTTAAAAAAAGATCGCGGGAGCTTTATCGTTGTTGGCTCTAAGTTGGTCCATCGCCCCCAGGTTAGAGCATTACAGCTTGAAGGCAGCGAATTGGAACGCCACCTGGAAATGGCAACGCCGGCGGCAGTACGTGTGTGCTTTGGTGATCCGTACCGCGGAGGATTTTGAAAACTGTTCCGGGACCCAGGTGCTGCGTGGCTTGGTCCGCACTGGCACCCCGCAGAGGATGGGTGGGAGGTTGAGCACCATGCAACCGCCCAGATCCCCCAGTTGACCACGCTTTTAGCGGAGTTCTTTGAGCTCGACGCCACATTTTCCACGCGAATCTGGGGTGTGATGATGTGGTTGTTTTCTACCCGTTCATTGATCCTTTCGGGGTTGTAAGACCAAAGGCATGTTACTGTGTGCGAGATGTGCATCAGGAAGCAACACCATTGCCCACCACTCCCCCTTAGGAACCACCTGACACTGCAAGTTGCATGGAACCGGTTGCAAACGACTCATCATCCCTAGCTGCGAGGCGGCTGCTGTCGATGGTCATCCTACAAAATGAATTCCTTCCACAGAAACAACCTCTTTGAAACATCTTCCACATCCAGGATATACCGGGATGAATTCAAAATTCCATGCCCCAATGCGGAGTGGTTTCACTCCCCACGATGGTTTTGGTTTGTCGGACCTGCTAAACCGCGCCTCTGACTTGGTAGGATCATCAATCTCAATTGTTTGTTGAGAATTCAGCGCCAGTCACTACAGCTTTTCTTGTCAAATTCACAGTACATTTCACCAGTCACTTTCTATAAATACCTGAAGCTGCTTGATTTGGTAGGCCTCATCAAGCATCTCTTGTTCACACTGGTTGAGTGCCAGCCACTTACTCTCCCCTGAAACAATCATGGAAGTGGAACATGATGGAACTTGGCCTGTTGTTTTAGATCAGATGGTGTTCCACTTCCATGCCAATGAGTTGGAATATGTCAGAATGTATTTAGAGTGAGTTCGAGTGGAGCTTTCTTCGGCTGGTGGCCAGAGGACCGCCCTTCACACCGCCCTTCAGGCTCCTGGCAGCTGCCTTTCATGGAGCGCTTCGACCGCTTAATCTTGGGACGGCTTTGGTCCTGGGCACAGGGCTCATCGCTGCCGCTAGCGCAACAGATCAAGCACTTAGCTGCGGCCAACCAGTGGGAGGACCAGCAGATGTGGCCGGAAAACAACCATCAGCGCTACAGCAGCTGATCTATAGAATAGCAGGCCCTATTGAGAGACAGAGTATGAATTGAATCTTGATGTAAACACGGTGACCTTGGGGACCTTTTGAGCTAAGTCTTGTTCGGCATCCTGGCCTTTGGCTCCCAAGACGCGGTTGAGAGACCTGAAGTGTGGCGGCCCTGTAGTCTATGTACCACTACTAGTGGTACATGGGATAGGCATGGATGGGCTATAAGGCTCTTCAACCTCTCTTGGCCCTCCACATGCAGCATGCGCAGTCCTTTTATATATCAACTCCGGCCTTCCGCAGTTTGCAGGAGCTGCTTCGGCTCTTCAAGGGCTTAGTCGAGTGGAGCTTGCAAAGTGGCACGCCTTTGGAGTCTGCCCTCTTGACCGCCTAAGACGAGGATTCGAGCGCAGCATCAGCGCATTTGTTGTTCTCGCGAAGATCGAGCGGGACGAATCCGTTGAAAAAGCGCTGTAAAGAGTGATTCGTCGTCTGCGCCGAGCCTCTGAATAAAAAGAAGCGGGCGCACCAACGGACGTCTCAACGGCCTGCAGTCCAGTTGGCGCAGGTTGAAGGGGTTACGGGCTGGGTGTGGGTTTTAAGACGGAGACACCCAAATACTATAGCCTATAGCCCCTTCGTAGGCTGGTGATTTTTCCCAACCGACCTTGGCAGGGGGTCGTTGTGGGCTCCGTGGGGGGCTCGGTCTCCCGATGGTGAAAGACATCCGGTCCGTGTGATTCGGATAGGCATGATTTCATCCTTGGAGTGGTGCCAAAAAGCTTCTGATCGGGAACTGGCAATGAAGAGGCCCTGGTTAAGGGAATCCAAGGGCTGTGGTGGTTAGATGATTGATGGGCTTCAAAGACCATGAAAACAAGGGTTAACCTGGTAGTGTGGTGTGAAAATCCTTTGCAAAACAATATGTTCTTTGGAAAATTCCATGGCCCAGAGGCTCATGGACCCGAACCAACTGCTACCTGCTAGCTGCTACATGTGTGTTGGAGGTCACCTTGGTTTGTGAGGCTCCATTTCACCCGGACCCGAACTCGTTCGGGTCCGGGTCCCACTAAGCCAAACAGAGGTCCTTGGACTGGCTATGACGAGCCTGGTCACCGATTCGATGGGCTGAGTCAAACCCAGTCGATCCATGGCGTGGCCATGGGAGAGTTTTTGCCCATCGGAAGAGCATCAGGGCGCACCGGACCAAATCGTCGAAAGCCAAGCGCAACAAGCTAGAATCGACCAACAGATGAAACATGATCACACATCAGTCACTACCAGCATCCTCCCAACAGGTCACTGGCCACTTTTAAGTCTCGAAGCTGGTAGATCAATCCACCAATGCATTGACCAAAACCCCCTTTTCACCGTTCATCGAGCGTGCTGAACGCACGCTCGCCAGGCTCAAAGCGGCCCAGCGGAGACGGGGGTTGGAACTGGGTGGGTAGTCGGTGGCAGAATGACATGTACCTGGAGTCTCTAAGTACCTCGGAAAATGGGTACAAGTACCTGCTTTTCTAGGGTCATGTCCCATTTTCTAAGGTACTTTGGAGGGTCCAGATATAGTGATTTCAGGCTCCCCAGCAGATTAATCCTCAGGGTCAATGTTAGTTTGCGGGAGGCTAGATGGCACTCGCAACATCTCGCAACCCAAGATGTTTGGTAGATGGGTTGAGCAGAGGCCGCAACTTGCCCTCCGCGAAACAAATACAAGTGCCAGTACAGATGCCGTACTCCAAACAAAAAATAACTAACAAGACCACGTGGTGCAAGTGAATTCATATTATGATTGCCTTGCTCGGTCAGTTTTATTCACAATGCCTATATAGACACCTAGACCTTTCAGGTAAAAGGGACTTTAAAAAAGGTATCACAAGAGCTTGCTATCAGTTTAACATAATTCAACTACCTGGAGTCTCCAAGGCATCCTAGGTCCTAGGCAATGGGGCTTGCTACAGTTCCTTGTGAACAGGTACTGATAAGCCAGAACCAACAGAGGTTAAGTGACCTTATAGGACCCTACAGGAGTACCTATAGGATAGTCTAGTTCGGGTTCTTCAACCTCTGCTGGAAACTCAGACACTCCCTGGAATTGATTGAGTTTTATACCATGCAACCATGGCGGACATGAGGACCGCCTTGTTGGGCCGCAAACGGCGCCTCTTGAGGAGCCCTTCTTTCAAGCTCCCATCGGCGTCGAGGACGCAGAGTCATGAGATCACGAGTCCAGTCGTGGATCTTTCCAGTCGCTTTGCTTGGAATCCCGTCTTTCTATCCATGACTATCCTATACTGTAGGTACTCCTGTAGGGTCCTTTCAGGTCACTTAACCTCTGTTGGTGGGGTGTTGCTGTCGTTCTTCGCAGTTGCCACTCCTCCAGGACCCGTCACTCTTCGACGATGACGACGACGACGATGATGAGGATGAGGACGATGAGGGCGATGACGAGGATGAAAACAGCACCTTGGAGCGACCAAAGGCACGTTCCAAGCATCTCCATCTCCTGGGTTTCTCTACCCAGACACTCCATGTATGCCATATAACATATATGCCTACATTGGGGTGGTTTGGGGGGCCAAGGTAGGCGTATATGGCATACATGGAGTGTAGTATGGGCTAGCAGTGCCTTTCCAGACAACCATGGGCAACAATTAGAGTCCACGGAGCCGCGGACTCGACTCGCATGTAAATGTGCCGTTCCTTTTTGGGGGGAAAGAAGCCGCTGGTGAGTGACATGTCCTGTAAAGGCCACTGGGCCCCGCCTTTGATCGCCTCTTTGAGCGATGCCCAGCCACGAAGCGATTGTCTCATGGAGACATATGGAGACAAAAAACCAACCGAGGTTCTTCAGAACCCCAACGTTCGAGTATCCCAGGACTGGGTACCCCCGGTTATTGTCCGGATCCGACTCGTGACCTGGTCACTGGATACCGCTCTTGGTAGTCCTCGTGATCCCAGTCCGCTTCGTCTCCCTTCCGCTGCAAAGCCTTTTCGTCGCTCTCGAGGCGCCTCCCTGCGCGACGTCGTCGCGGGCTTCTTGAACGGGTCTGCTGGCCCGAGGGAGACGGCTGGTGGGTGGGACACAGATCGGTGGATGGAAGTAGAGTCTAAGTAGAGGCAAAGGAAGTAAGTACGTGACAGGTATTCTGGCCAGGCATGCCATGTTAGACATGAAAGGATTTAAGAGGTGGTTCAATCCAAATTGAGGGGTGTTCATGAATCAAGAGTCCACATATTTTCGTCTTTTGAGTGGAATTCAGGCGTCCAGGGGCTCAGAGACACTGGCTTCTCGACCGAAAAAGGGTGACCTTGTTCAGTCATGTTCTTTGGATTTGGATGGATTTGGGGTCATCCAAATCCAGAACAATGAGGTCCTTGACCAGAACTAGTGCCAACCTTCCACTGGGCACTGGCACTTGGTGTGATTCGGAAGCTGCAGGCCCCTCTAAAATCAAAGAACTAGCACGAAACAGAAACTGTGAAGACCTTCCACCAACACCTGTCAAAAAGCAAGTGCAGTGTCTAGTTTGCAGATCATATACCCTGTCAATTTATCTAGTTTATAGATCACTTATCTAGTTTATAAGTTCATAGAGCATGTGCGGCCCCCAAAAGTCCAGGCTGGAAACCGTTTCTTTTGACCATACCCTGTTGCCACGTCAAGAGCCGGAACAGTCACAGTCATCTCACGACGCGGCCGACGTCACGACGCGACCGACGTCACACGCCCAGGAATGGGGCTACTTATCAGGAAGACACGCGAGAGATCAGGAAGGGTGGGAGGGGAGGAGAGCGGAGGCCCACAAGATGGAGACGGGCCTAGAAGACCAGCTAGACCAGACATTTCATTACCTGGAGAGGTTCTTGGGGGTCCAATCAATTCTATCATCAATTAAATTATCTCATAATTAAATCATATTACCAGAGCTTTCTAAGGGGTTTCTATTCCAAGTTCCTTAGGGCTTTGGCGGTGTGAATGACTGATTTTGATTCTAGGCTTTGTGAAATAAGACCAGCTGCAACTTTGGGGGCGGTCATGGGCGAATGGCTTGTTTCAGCCGGCATAGGGGATCCTTCGTCGGATCAAGCGAAACACCCCTCTGAGGTATGGTGATGGGAGACACATTTTACATAGGCATGGAGCTACCAGCCGTATCTTCTGAGAAGGTGTGCGGTTCCCTAGGGTCTTACAAGTACATGACATCCATAGCGGTGTTTTGAACACCACCGGCCACAGGGTCTTGACAGGAAGACGATCGTGTCTTCATCCCCACCATACCTCGCAGGTTCAGGATTGACATGGATTAACTAATATACTACTTCTAACCCTGTTAGTCGCGATCACCGAGCAGAGTCTCATATGTTGGTCACTGCACAGCGCTCAATAGATAGAACAGCAACTGATCTCTTTGGGACAGCACGCCGAAAGATGCCAGCACCCGACTTCACAGGTGCTTCCTGGTGACAAGTCCGGTGCGCAGAAACCACCTGCGGTCGGGTCTCCAAACAGCATGGCCAGGAGGGTCCTGGTATATTTTGATATAGACATCGTTTGGGCCTGGCTATTGCACCATTTCCACTGACGCCGTCAGCCAGGCACCTTTTACCTTGGGTGGAACTGGCGCCTTGGCTCGCGCACTGCAGGGGGGAAAAGATCGGCTTGGATCACCTCCATGTCTTGCACCCCAGAACTTCCTTTTTGACTCATTTGACCCCACCTGGTATAGTCAATCCATCCACCACTACCATAGCCCAGGGGTAAGAGGAGTCACTCCACTCACCCAGACGGACATCAGACCAGTCCAGACGCAGAGTCACCGGGGGTCCGACCGTCGCGTGGGATGGTCCGGGTCTGATCCCGGCGGCGTTTGAAAGTTTCAATCACCAACTTGTTACAACCAGCGGTCACAAAGGGGTGCCGAACTTGGAGGTTAGGGGTGCCCAGAACATCCACTCACTGGATGGGACTAAACACCACCCCTTTGTGACCCCTGGAACATGGAGGTGATACCCATCCCAGCCGCTCCATGGGACTGCCATATATGCCGCCCCATTGACCCCCCAAACCACCCCAATGTAGGCATATATGGCATACATGGAGTGTCTGGGCATTGTTGATTGTTACAACACTAGTTTCAATATGTTTCAATCAAATGCTGGAGTCAATACCCAGTTGTCAAATGAGTGGGGTTCCCACCGTAGCCAAAGACCGGACACCGAGGTTTCAGGATGTTTCAACACATCTCATCCACGATTTGTCTTGTTGGCCTTGGGCGTTTCACATCATGGTGAACTTATTCAACACAGCTTATTGTGTTATTTCCTTCTTGTTACCTTATGTTTTTGTTTGGCCTTCTTGTGTTATTCCAGTATTCAACGCAGCTTATCATCTCCTGGTTGAACTTTTGGCGCGCGCTTGGTGCTGGGAAGGCCTCGACCTTCTCAAAACGCCGGTGAGCAGGGCGCAGCTTAGTCAAACGTGCGGAGCTTCTGTTGACGAGATGTGCTGTTGACTATAATTGCGCTACTTATATAGTCGTTTTAGTCAAACGTTTTCGGAAAGTCTCCCTCAGAAAAGTGTCATTGCCAGGACTTGGTCGAATCTATCGGTGTACCATCCACCTAAACCATCCTAAACCCTTGTTTGCTTGCCACGCTGGACCTCCACATTCCAATCCACACCAACTTCCTGCGGCGAACGCGCCATGTTGAACCCCCCCCAGGTCTTTGCAACAGGAAGGAGTCGGAAGGAGCAAGAGTTGCTCCCCCGCTC